AATGAATCCATAAGGGCGAAAGCGAAGGGATAGGAATTCGACGTACCAGCCAGGTCCGCCGATACAATTCGGCGATTTGATGTACTAATACAGATTGATAGATTGTAACATCACACAAAACGGGTCGCGGTGGACATACAAAATGAAAGTGATAAAGGTGTCAGAAAGCACCATTGATGAAGGAGGTGATCACGCTGGGTGTAAGAGATAAAGTGTTTAACTTGCAGCGATCGTTTGTTTACGCGGGTACTCCAGGGAAGTTTTATTCCTGCTATGATACTGCGACGAATGTAAGCGAATAATTGCACGGAGTTGACCAAATGATCCCTTGATATTTCATGATAGCCTTGGATGTAGAGGAGCTACACAGCCCCTTAAGTCAGAGGAAGACTTAACGCTCTACGAGCAACTTGGTTCCAAAGAACTAACGACTTTACGAGTCAACCAGCTTTACAGCTTCAGATCCCTGTTCCAGGGGACCTAACGATTCAGTGAATCGACAGCACTCAGTGCTCAAGAGTAGCTACCTCAAGGAGGTGTTGCTAACTCTTAGTGATCAGTGATCAACGATCAAGAGACGGCTCGCAAGCCACGTGTCCTTTATATCAAAATGGGAACTGATTTTATTTTATTGTCAAAGCCTATAGAACATCTGAATCCTACTCAAAGATCTTTCGTACCTAATGGCTGACACTCGTCAGCCCCTACAAACCAATAAGATATTCTATATCACCTTCACAAAGGGGTAACCTCAGGTGTGTAACACATCTGGTACAAAGTACCATAATTTCGTGCAACCCCGTTGCATTGGATAAGAATGTAAAAGCCAAATGAGTTATTTAATAATCGCGACCGTATCCACAAAGCATCATGTGTGTAGGTACAGCACATCTGGGACATTTTGGGTGAGCATCAAATAAAGCCAATTTTGCTGACTTTCTATGACGGAGTAGAATCATGTAAGCTCCAATAAGAACGGTGAGACGAGAACAAACACCACAACCTGAATCGTTAATTTCTAGCTATCTACAGCTGTACTCTACACACCATTAATGCATGTCACAACAAAAATTATTGTCGCACTTCCTTTCAAGCATTTTAATCGCGCTTCGCCTTTGAACTGCACTTGATATAAAAATCGATCGTCTACCTTCGCAGAGGTACGACGCTATTATTCTTGTATGTATATGTATGATAAAGGTTGTTGCTATTTCAAGTTATTCCAAGCCGGACTTATCTCATTGTAAAGCTCAGTATGTAACGAGTTTCCACAACAGAACACATGCATCGACGCAATATGTGCACCTGGACGATCAGGAAAGTTGACGACTAAGGTTCGTTCTTGAGTGAAGTCTACGACACGTTGTGCGGCGCGGTATGACTGAACGCAAGAGACTACACGCAACACGTACTTCTTTCATTTATTAGTGGACAATCGGCACATTTTGGCAACCTGTTTGTGGTAGCGCTACGATGATGAGTGTGTAATCTACAACACACTGTAACAGTCTGACTATCCAGAACGTTTTTCAGCAACGAAGTTTTACACAAGAAGTCACGATTAGCACGAACTGATGGAAAGACATATACTGCTCGCATGTCAACGTTTAAGGCAATCTGGATGGACTAAGCAGCAGCAGTGTCAAATGCATTCCTATTACAATCTCAACTAAACGCGATGCTTTCGTCAGCAATGTCCGCTTTGAAGCAAAGACAACTCGATAATTTGGCGTTTACACTCACTTTGACATGGCAACATTCGCGAAGCCAAGTCAGTCATCAAGATTGCCAATCAGCTTCCCAATCAGCTTCCCAATCGTGATCGCTTAATCTCTGTCTTTCGGCGGCTGTGGCCTGTTCTTTAGCGAGGCCGTCGCCTTTCCACAAGTTGCTTAATGATTTTCCCCACCCTGTGAAGGGGGCCTTGATTATTGCAGGAAGTCCGGCCACGGCATCCATCAACGGTTCCATGATATCACGCGGCGCATGGAGAGGAGCCTCATGCGGCACGCCATACTGCCGAGAGTTCCGATTGGTTATCTGCCCTGTGGCACCATCTCCAACTCTAGGACTCGTCATACGCACGATACCGGGCGCAGTATTCGGTTTCATCTTCTCAGCGTCTACAACACCGGGACCAGTACTCGGTCTGAGCTCAACGTCCTCCATGACATTGGGCTCGGTATCCATTTTCAGCTCGGCATCACGCACGGCACCGGGTCCAGTCCTTGTGTTCAGCCCAGCATCGCTCACTACGTCGGGTCCAGTCCTCGCCTTCAGTCCGGCATCGCTCATTACCTTGGATCTGGTAGTAGCCCTCGGATTAAAATCATCCACGACACCAAGTCCGGTACTCGCCTTCATCTTGGCGGCATCCACGACACCCGGTCCAGTACTCACTTTCAGCTCGGGATCCTCTGCGATACCGAATCCAATTTTTGTCTTCGACTTTAGATCCTCTACGATGCCATGTCCGGTACTTGTTTTTTGCTTGAGATTCTCATCAAAAACAGGTCTTGTACTCTCTTTCAGCTTGGAATCATCAATAGCACCAGGTCCAGTAATCGGTTTCAGCTCAGCAGCTTTTACGACACTCGGTCTGGTACTTGCTTCCAGCTTGGAATCCCCCCGCGACATCAAGTACAGTACTCTCTTTCAGCTTGACATCACCCACGGTTCCGAGTCCAGCACTCAGTTTTAACTTAGGATCCTCCACGTCAACAGTACTTTTTTTCAGTTTGGAATCCTCGATGACATCGTGTTCAGCCTTCGCTTTCAGCTTGGAATCGTCCGTGGGTCCGAGACCAGTACTTGGTTTCAACTCAGGATCCCCCATGACAACATGCCTGGTACTGGCCTTTAGCCTGGAATCCTCGATGACATCGTGTTCAGCCTTCGCTTTCAGCTTGGAATCGTCCGTGGGTCCGAGACCGGTACTCGATTTCACCTCGGCATCTTTCACGGCGCCAGGTCCAGTGTTCTCTTTTAATTTGGGATCATCCACGACACCGAGTTTGGCACCCGCTTTTAGCTTGGAATCATCCACGACAACTGGTCCGGTTTTAGCCTTGAGCTCGGCATCACCAACGACAACGGGCCCGGTACTCTCTTTCAGCTCGACACCCGTCGGACCCGTGCTTGTCTTGAACGAGTGTTTTACTTTAGCTGCTTTGAAGCGCTCACCCATCGTTGAGTCGCCAACCTTGATGTTCCTGATCATGTGTGCAAGCTCCACGAGCTTAACAAAGATCGGACTATTCGCCAGCTTGCTCCCAAGCGGTTCCATCAGTTTCAGCACCTTCGAGATAGCGGCCCTGTACTGCAGAGCAAGTTTATCTACCAGCGCTTTGGTCCCTGTTGCAGCTGCGACCGCCACGTCAGAAGTCTTCCCCAAGAAGGTACTTTGTGACAGCTTCATGACCACTGGCTTCAGCTCCTCAGCGACGTTGGCCGCGTTTCTCTCCTCGTCGTCAGCTTGCAAGTCTTTGTTGGCAGTGACGATCCTCAATAACTTCTTCGTGTTTGTGCTGTTGACATGATCATCTTCCATCTCGCGAGGAGCGAGTGGGTCGTCATGCTCGAGAACAGTCTTTGAATTGATACTAGTTGAGACTGCATCAGTGCAAGTGGAATGGGCAGCTAGAGCAGCTACGACGATGTACGCCAGACGCATGCTCGGAATCGTTCGAGTCAAAACGCCGAAGATACTTGGATACGGTTGGGGACGACGATGTTGGATCGAAATGTGAGGTGCCAGGTCGAATTGCCCGTTGCTCGTCGATTGGTGTCCAACCATTGTAGTCAAAGCATGGGTTCAACGTATGATGAAACTGGCTCATTAGAACCGACTCTGACAACGGCATATGCTTCTGTGGTACGTCAATGGACTACCGCTTACCTATCTAGCAACACTCAAGCAGTTTTGGACCCTTTGTGAACTGCTGAGATCGATGTACTGGTAAATCGTACGATCCATCAGTGGCATTTCACATCTTCATAGTGGCCAAAAGGGCCTTTTTCAATCGTCACAATCCTTGCTGGTTTACCCATTCGGTGCAGTCAGTATTTCCATTCAAAATCAGGAGGCCCATTCAACAATATTTGCATTACATTGATTTCTGCCGACTAGATGAGCCCCCGGACTGGTTCAAAACCGCCTCTTTCTGTAAAGAGGGAAGCGATAAGCCGATACAATCTCATCCGTGTTGACAGCCAATTGCTGTGTGAGAAGAGACCGAAAAATTGAAATCAGTGATGTTGTAAACGCTAGCAAATTCGGACCTTCTGATACGCCGTATCAGAAGGTTCGACACTGATGGTGAAGCGTACACCTCGCCATGTGGAATTGGACACTCGTTGAGCGCGCATGCCAGCAGACGGGTTGTCAACATACCAGCGTACCGGAGGCCCACCTAATCTACTGATTTTAGGAGGATGGAAAAGCGGTTGAGCGGATGTGGAAGCAAATCCTAGCGACAAGTAGTCACCGAGGTAAGGTCTGACCGGATCTGCGCGGTCCATCGGGTAGCCGCGAAAGGCAACAAGCACCACGATCAGGATTTGATATGCTTGCTTCTGCCATCGATACGCAATCGCGTCATGGAAGCATAGACAAGAGTTATTTCGGCTGTTAGGGAAGCCATCCTTTGAGCATTCATCGATGCACCCGAGCACGAAGCGAGAGGATAAGCAGGTGACACAGGTGGTATCGTGAATGAACTGTGAGAACACAAGATGATGATCAAGATGATGACCAAGATGATGACCAAGACGATGACCAAGACGATGACCAAGACGATTGCGCAAGTACTTTCATTAGTTGGGTTAGTCTAGCCTACCATATAACCCTCCAACAAATACACATTCTCAATTTTACCTTTGACTCCGCAAACCCCCTCAAGCAAGGCTTGCGGACTGATCACCCCTCTGCAAGCCACGGGTGTGTCATTTTGATATATCAAATTTGGCCGATCAAGATCGAGAATCCCGTTGCCTTTAACATGGGACGGAACAATGAAGATGAGTACGTCACGTACACGATCGTGACGTGCCAAGAAAGCACGACCGCACCAGCTGACTTTGCCAAGCTGAAGATTAAGCGCTTTCGCGGAGGGTCCGCGAAGGACTGGCTCAAATGGAGCATGAAGTTCAAGAGCCTCGCAAAAAGAAAAGGCTGGGGTGCTGACCAACTGACCGTTCAACTGCTCACGCTGATCGACGGAGATCTATCGCGCGAGGTCAAGCGCATTGCCAGCGAATCTTCCGAGAAAGGACATACGTTCGAAGACTTCTACCGTGAGGTCGGCTTACTCCTGGTTCCTGCGGATTACAGTGAAGACCTAGATGAGGAGCTGTGGACCCTGACCAAGCGCCGCGACGAAACAGTTCAACGCTGCTCGGCACGTCTGCGAGAGCTTGCTCAAATGTACGCCTAGTTGCCGCAGGATGCGCAAACACTTTCGGAGAATCAACTTTGTCGCTACTTTCGCCGAGCTATGCCTCCAAACTGGCAAGACGAGCTTGCATTTTGTGGAATCTCCTACGAAACCATAACAGAGCTTGCGATGTACTTTGAGCGACTCGAAAGGCGCGAAAGACAGAATGGCCTGCAGCGCCAGAATGGTCAAGGAAAGAATGGTGAAAGGGGTCAAGGTCGGCGTGACCAGCAACGCCCGTTCAACGACCGTAATGACCGCAGAGATCGTCGCAACCAGCGCGGACATCATGACTCACACGAGAATCGTCCTCACAGACGGACTGTGACAGATTACAAAAAGCAAAACGACCGCCATGATGATACTGGTATGTGGTGCAAGTTCCACAAAACAAAGTCTCAGAACTCCAGCGAGTGCTTCGCCCTGAAGAAGCAGCGCGAAGAGCACAAGCCAGCTGAGATACAGACAACAATTTATGAGCAAGAACAAGTATCCCAGATTTGAAGAGGAGTCAAGTGACAGTGACAGCGACAGCAACAGTGAGATGTAGCTCGTTGGTCTGGTCGCCAAGAAGCATTCTAGCACCAAGCTCGCTCCGTTTCGCATCAAGGTTCAGCTCAAGAACGCAAACGGCACCTTGAAGCGCTACTAGAAAGTGGTCCATCAATGAGCATCATCAACCAGAAGACTCTGCAGGCTAATGTCCAGCTTGGACGTAAAAAAGTTGCATCGTCGACCAAGTTTCAGACGGTGAATGGCGAGGTGACAAGTGATGGCAGTGCAGTCGTTCAGTTTCGATTTGCATCCCTCAAGCCAATCATCACTCACAGGTTTGAAATTCTGGAGAAGAGCCAAGATGCTATGGTGATTGGTCGGGACATCATGACGTCATTGGGCATTGTGCTCAATTTCAAAGAAAAGGTTGTTCAGTGGGATGGCCACTACGCGCACCTTAATACCGGTGGGTCACGCTCTTTCGAGGTGATCGATTACGAATTTTTCGAAGAAAGCAAAGAAATTGCTGAAAGTGCAGTCCTACCAGAAGAACTCATGCCCGACACACTACCCAACTCTCTCGTCGACGAATATCATCATCTTCTTCGTGCTAACAAGAGCTTGTACGATGGTCACTTGGGAAGAATGAGGTTCGAAGATTACATCTTGCCTATCTCACCTGACTACAAGCCCGTTCACGCCAAGCCATATCCTGTCTTACGTAGCCTCGAAGGAAAGGCGCGAGAGCTAATTCAGCATCTGATTAGCATCGACGTGCTGGAGAAGATCTACGATTCGGAAATGGCATCGCCAGCCTTTTTTCTGAAGAAACCCAACGGCTCCCTGCGTTTACTGATCGACTTTCGTGGGCTCAACCGATTTTTGCAGCGCAGCCCATACTACGTCCCACGTATTCGAGAGATTTTATTACGTCTCGCGGGAGCGAAGTGTCTTTCTACGCTGGATGCAAACATGAGGTACTACGCGCGTCGTCTCGCTACGTCAAGTCGTAATTACACTGCATTCTGCTTACCTTTCGGGAAGTTCCAGTACAAGCGGCTCCCAATGGGAATTTCTACGGCGCCGTACGAGTATCAAGCGTGCATGGAAAAGATATTTGGTGACCTGGATTTTGTCGTCGTTTATCTGGACGATATTCTCGTTTATTCTAGTAGCGAGAAGACTCACCTTAAGCACCTGGGTATTGTGTTCAAGCGTCTAAAGAAGTATGATGTTACGCTTAACGGCAAGAAGTGCCACATTTTACGCGAGTCTGTTGACTATCTTGGCTTCACTCTTACATCCGAGGGGATTCATCCCCAGCAGACGAAGATTCAAGCGATCCAACAGATCGCCGTACCCGAGACCAGAAAGGAGCTACGCCGCTTCCTCGGGATGATTAATTACTACAGGGACATGGTACCGAACAAGACGACATTATGCCAGCCACTTAACCGCTTCACCAGCGCTAAAGTCCCTTTCGAATGGCTACCCAGTGACACGGAAGCATTTCACGCTGTTCAGAAAGCGTTTGCGCAAGCGGTCCTGCTCGCGTTTCCCGATTTCGAGCAGCCATTTCACGTTTATGCTGACGCCAGCGGTAAGCAGATCTGCGGCATCATAATGCAAAGAAATCAGATCCTTGCATGCTACTCGCGAAGTCTGAACAAGCACCAAGTGAATTACACTACTATGGAACTCGAGCTTCTTTCGATCGTGGAATGTTGTTCCACGATGTTGCGCGAATATCGCACCATGTTGCTCGGTTTTCCTGTGGTCGTTCACACCGACCCCAAGAACCTCATATATCCTACCGAGCCCAGCCTGCGAGGCAAGCGCTGGAAGCTTCTCCTCTCGGAGTACCGCCTCTCGATGCACTACATTAAGGGGGCCAAAAATGTTGGTGCTGACGCTTTTTCGCGGATGCGATTTGATAAATTAGAGACAAACTCTAAGTTGCAGCTTGCGGAGGAGGCTTGTTCGACGACGGATGAGCCATACTGTGTCATGCATGGTCCTGTCCTACAAGAGCACCAAGAGAAAGACGCCATGATCCAGAAGATCAAGACTTCCTGCCTTAAAGGCAACAACAACCCCGACTACCAGCTCCTACCGCTACTTGGCTGCACACTGGTTGCGTACCGAAAGCGCGTCATTGTGCCCGACAGCCTGCGCGATGACCTAATTAATTGGTACCATTTGAGTCTCAGCCACCCGGGAAGTGAACGCCAGTACTAGACGATGAGACAGGTGCTTTACTGGCCCGGCATGGAAGCCGCTATAAACAAGGAGACGAAGAATTGTCTCGTTTGCAAGAAGGCCAAGGTACATGGAGGCAAGCAAGACTACGGATTATTGCCACCTCGGACACTCAAAACATTGAACCCTTTCGACTCGGTTCACGTTGATTTAATTGGTCCCTACGAGGATGGATATTATGGCATCACTATGGTCGATCACGCCACGCGTTGGCTGGAAGTGGGTATCCAGCCTGATAAAAGTTCTCTGACCACAGCCGAGAGCTTCGATCGTGAATGGCTTTGCAGATACCCGCGTCCAGTAAAAGTCATCCATGACCAAGGGACGGAGTTTACGGGTGAAGAGTTTCAGGAGATGCTGCGCAGCTACGGAATTCAGTCCAAGCCCATCACAAGCAAGAACCCACAAGCAAATGCGATATGTGAGCGCGTGCATTTGGAGATTTTGAATGTCATCCGTTGCTACGATGGCATTGACTGGAAAAAGACCATACACTACGCTGCGTTCGCCGTGAGAGCAAGCTACCACAGCATTCTCAATGCTTCGCCAGGTCAGCTTCTCTTCGGACAAGACATGATCACTCGCCAGCTTTACAATGCTAACTGGAGCTACCTATCCAAGCGCCGTTTCGATGCAATCCTCGCTGACAACGACCGCGAAAACAGCAAACGCCTTGAGCATTTTTACCATGCAGGCGATCACGTGATGCTGCGGATTCCCAAGCAATTTCGTGCAAAGCTTTACGCCGTGGCACACGGACCGTTCCTAATACGTGCAGTTCATGACAACGGAACTGTCACTATAGACAAGGGTAAACGACCAGAGCGTGAGCATCCGCCGCATTTTTCCATGCTGATTCTCACAGATCATGGGGGGAGTATGACACAGGTGGTATCGTGAATGACCTGTGAGAACACAAGATGATGATCGAGATGATGACCAAGACGATGACCAAGACGATGACCAAGACGATGACCAAGACGATGACCAAGATGATTGCGCAAGTACTTTCATTAGTCGGGTTAGTCTAGCCTACCATATAACCCTCCAACAAATACACATTCTCAATTTTACCTTTGACTCCGCAAACCCCCTCAAGCAAGGCTTGCGGACTGATCACCCCTCTGCAAGCCACGGGTGTGTCACAGGCATTCCTGGGGCAGTCCTGATCAGCCCCTGAGACCTTCGGCGCTGACATCATGGCGCAGGCTGTATGGGAGGTCTTGTACATTTTCAAAAAAACGGTGTAAATAGACCCTTTGAACTTCTAAAGATGTCGCAACTTACTTTTAGAATAGATATGCCGTGCTACATAACAGTTTTAATGCCGGAAAAAGTGCGTGACCGCAGGACCGCTTTTCTTACAGAGCGATTTGGCAGCGTGCGACATAACATGTTTTCGCTCAAGTCGTCACGGGGTGTAAATGTAATTTGGACGATTACCTGCTCAAAATCTTACCAGGTCTGTTCAAGCTAAATGATGGTAAGCACTTGCGAAGCCCACGAGTATATTTCGTCCTAGCGCCAATGATAGACTATACAAGAACGAGACACGGTATGTGCATTCGTACCACGCACGTCTCCACGACCTTCTTCGTACTAATGGAAAAGAATACACTTATGTAATGATCAACGTGTTATCGCCGTCGATAGAGACCCAGATTAGAAAATGGCCAATTCTTGACGCACGCTTCTACAATCAAATTTTTGCGAAGGGCAAAAGGCATGCCAAGGGCCTTGCGTCTGAGAGTTCGTTTTGATTATTCAAGCATTCTTCGGACAACTTTTGTCCTCACAACTCATACAAATTTCATTCCACCATGCTGGTTCTATTGTTGCTAACTTTTACTTGAGAGAGGGGAGCAAGCTCTGGAGCTCGCCCTTTGATAAAAGTATTCGGTTCATGGAACTATATCAAATTGCAAAACATCATGCAGCAGCAGTCACTGAAGAATAAGTATGAAGATGTTTATGTTTGTATTAATGATGTACAGCATACTCAAGCACCGCGATCAGCCTATACTTTTGAGCGCCCAGCATTTGCTTATGTGATCATTTATAGCTTTAATTGATTTTTGAGCTAATCACAAGCGTGCTCCGCCTTGGGGACCTAGCCAAAGAGTGACCTTGAATATGCCTGTATACATTTGAGGGAAGATTAAGTAGATCGCACTTATTACGTGGACCTCGCCGCGTTATAAACACCCTCGAAGATAAGTCCGATTTAGAAAAAATCGACATTCACCTTGCGCTCAGTCACAACTCGCTTCATCCTTCGGGCTCGCAACTTTTTAAAAGTGGAGTACCACTTCGAGTCGATAACGTCATTGAAGTACTCAGCCCTTAAAGTTGCATATTCGGGGTGCACCACTTCAAAATTGACAACACTGCTTTAATTCTTGCCACGCTTGCCGCCTGTGGTCAAAGTAGTTTGATCAGTACTTCGCAAGGTCTCATTATTGTTTTAAAAAGTGCAGGCATACAAAGTTCATATAAAAGTGCGTGCCAGGAGTGCGTGCAGTTTTGGTAGGAGATTAAAATGTGTAGGTTTTAAAAAATAGCTTATAGCCACTCCGATGTCATGTGGTGAGCCGAAAATATGGCGCGTTCTCTAAACTAGAGAAATCAAATAAGGGTGTAGTGGGGACACAAATAATTTAAACCTTCTTCTGAATAGAGGTGTTATACGAGTTAAATCTGCCCGATTGGTATATTTAAATGAGCTAGAAAGTTCCTAGCTTTATGATATTTTTAGATCTGGTTCATTTCTGACTCTCTATTTCTTGGAACTTTCCATTTCCTTCTGAGCAATTGTCTGCTCTAAAGCATGTTGAGGATCGACCTAAATCACTATTGCACAACGTGAGCCTAAATTATAATTACTCAAGTGTCACACACCAGTTTCGTCCATGTTGAAAAATTGTTTGAGCTCATTTCGAGTAGTCTCCAGTTAGGGGGATATCCCTTGTTTAGCATTGTAGTAACCACGTTGACACTTATTCTCCCAGCTTCAACTATATAGGCGACGCGCAGGCGTCTGGCGGAAACTCAAATAAGGTCAGAAATTTTAGATCAGTGCGCTTCTGAAGTAAAAGAGAGGTGACGTGCTAGGTAAATTGAACTATAACTATTCCATATTTTTATTTCCAGGACGATCTGAATCACTTTTATATTATTGAAAAGGAGCTAGCTATGTGCTGGCGTTGTGTTGGCAGATCTTAAGCTTTTGCGCATCGGTAAGGCGTACTTCACCGTGATCATATGAACTGCAAAGGAAAATCGTTTTTTTAGTTTATTATTCATTTCGCGCAAAAGAATATTTAAATTAATGTAGATCGAAAATCAATTTGTCCCTATGATTATTAATACCAAGCCACTGACTCATCCTGGCAATGACTACACCTACCGGTCGAGACGTCCAAGTGATTTTAGAGACATTTGTTGCGAGCCGTAGGGTTAAGCTCACAGCGACTGAGTGCAATGTAAGTCTGAATATTTAAGTCTACTTTCAGTCAGTGTGTCTTTATGTGCGTTTGTATCGGAAGCTAGATATACCTTACACGTCGTAAGGTATATCCAAGTGTGATATTGCTTGTCCAATTTTTAAAGGTGAGCTCCATTTAAGGGTCACTCCTTGGGCATGTCACTAATTGTGACCGCATTGAGAGCGGATGTGGACGCGTTAAACATCTTCGGGCGAAAGACTACCTTTGTTCAACTCTTTCTCTTCTTCACGCATATAAAAAATTCAATTATATCGAGTCGTAATTTAAGTTCGTCATGACGAAATTGCATATTAATGGCGGTATATCGCATCGCATCTGCAAGCAATAAAGATGTAGCACACATTTCAGGGCTACAATCTTCCATTTTCACTACAACATGCAAAATGGCTAAGAGTTGTTACATCCACATATCAATATTATGTCAAGGCAAGGCAGTGCATTCAAGTAATACAAGTTTGAACCGAGGCAACGTACTGTCGATCTAACTACGTATCTAAATCCTGTCGCGACTTGTAACAAGCGTTATTTATCTCCCTGACGGATTATCGTTAGCAAGATATCGAGTGATCGATCAGGTATGCCCAGCAGTCCGAGACTGATGCCAACACACGAAATGATAGGTAGATATTTGATGGAGAGTCGAGTCTTTATGTGAACACCATTGGAGCTAACGACAAAAAAGAATTGGATGCGGACTACGAATACGTTCAAAGAGAAACTAATTCAAAGCTAGCACTTGTACGACGAGTGATTTTAAGATAAGGTGTGACTATAGTGAAACATTTTTTTAATTTAACTTCGGCACGCCCACCAAGTTATAGTTGACAGTTATAATGGTAACACATTTATTCGCTTACACCACGTTGTCTAACCTAGACATATATCATAGAACTTCTCATATTACATCATAAAAGGTATTAGTTAATACAAAATAGTTGTTCTACTATCCTTTGTGCAAACCTGTTTGCTACATCATAAGCAAGACGATGTACGCTGGCGCTAGCTGTAAGTACAAAAAACAAGAGGATATTACAATTGTCTTCGAGCGAATTGATAATGTAATTATTTAAATTATGTAAGCAGATATATATGATCTTCAATCATCTTAAGGTGCGAGATGCGATTGACGCTCGGTACCAATATTTAAGTACTGTATCTGAAAAGGCCGTTATTACGTAGTGAATTTAGATCCCACCAAGTGTTGTTGGTGTAATGTAGTGTACGCTTACGATGGTGAATTCGTCTACCGAAGGCCGATCTCTCAGTATCTGGATACGCTGGATGCTGGGAAATGTAGTAAAAAGTATTACAGGCGCACCTGAAAGGTTCACATGTAAAGCTAAAAGCATGACTAAATGCGTTCAAGTATGGTCTTCGCTACATTAGTGATATGTAAATGATTTTACAAGCGCACGAAAAGCTCTATGTATGTAGCAGCTATTTGGGTCGTTAAACAGTTACTTTGGTATCTTGGAACCTTCTGGTAGTCAGCGCTTTCTTCAGTTTCATTTTAGCGCATAGCCCTAGCGGTCAGGCACATAAACGTTTGAAAAATATGTACTATCCGGATCCTTTGCAATATATCTTTAGGCATGACATAGGATCAGCCACTTCAACGGACGTTGTATCCAGACTTACTTACCAGTCAGCTTGTCGAACTGAATAAGAAATGTATCAAATTTGTGTGTCTTTCTATTGTACAATTTCTTTTGGCCATCTGTGATTTATAAAAGGATGCTTAGTCTGATGTGCTGAGCATATTAGTCATTTAAAATCATGTAGTTTTGGCCCGTGATAGCCTTCTAAATACTAGCTTTGTCTGATTACTCTGGCACACAGCACAGAGCTCATGATGCATAGTGAGCAAACAAAAATATTTAAAAATTAGTAACAGCACGTAATCACGATCGCGTATCATATCTTTAACTTTATAGTACAACCTGAAAAGCTGCCGAAAAAGTTGACTAGCTACACGTCAGAGCCAAGATTAGTGCAAACCGTCGAAAAAAATGGTGCGACTTTGTCTCGATGATTAAACTTTCTCAGGTTTGCGTAAAACCAAAAAGTATGGTCGATGTGGCGGTTTACACAAATGGTGTATATTGCGGCCGATGATAGACTATTTTGTAAAATTTGGAATGTTTAAGACCAAGCTTAGTCTTGGGTGCCCTCCTCTTTCACTTGTGTTTAGTGAGCTGTAATAAATGTATGTTATACTAGTTGTGATGTAACACTGTCCAATTGTACTTTCTACGTAAAAGCTGCTTACAATGAACACAGAGCAAGCTGGTTTCTTGAAACTTCACGTCCACATGTCCTGAAGTAGAATGTATTGATGCGAGATAAGTGTAAAAACAGAATTGGAACAAGTACATTTGATCTTCTGGTATAGAT